AAGGGCAGCTGCTTGGTGAGCGATGCCCAGACTGTACCTGGCAGCAGGCTGGCCAGTCGCTGACTTCTGCAGGGTGACGTGGCTGCTGGGGAAGGACTTGCTGAAGTAGAGCCATTGCCCTCTGGGACAATTGCTGTATAGACTGCTAGGGGCAGGGAAGGCATTGGGTTTTTTTCTTCCAAAAAGCCAAATTTAAGCAACAAACAAAAAAAGTCCCATTCCTCCCTCTATATTCCCTCCTGTACGTGTGTGAAATTTATCAGTATTCTGTAGGTTTCCTTAGTGCACTTATTTTACTTGATTTTGTAATTTTTTTGAAGCAGGGGGGGTTTGGATATTACTGCCAAATAAATGAAACAAAATTTTAAAAATAACACGTCTTTTGTTTTATTTCTCACAAGATGGGCGAACAGGCTGGTGACCTTCCTGAGGTCCCTTCTGGCTCTGATAGGACTTTCTGAAGACAGGGCTGAATGGCTAATGTCACCTTTGCTGAACTGAATGATTAAATGGCCTTTAATATGTCCTGTAACAGGAGGATAATGTCTTACCATTCATCTCCACCATAACTAAGGGACTTGGTGGCTTCTGCTACTGTCAGCTCTCCTGTGCAAATGACAGTCCAACAGAACAGAAGGCTGGGTTACTCTGCTTCACTTCGTATGCTCCTTTCAAAGCTGTATAAAAAAAACAAAACCAAACAGAACATTGCCTTTTACATGTTACTTTTCACACCAAATGTCCTTTTTAGCATGAGCCAGCTGTCACGTAAGCAGTATTAACTGTGGCGTTCCCTGCCCATTCATAGAATCACAGAATGGTTTAGGTTGGAAGGGGCCTTAAAGATCATCTAGTTCCAACCCCCCTGCCATCAGCAGGGACACCTTCCACTAGACCAGGTTGCTCAAAGCCTCATCCAGCCTGGCCTTAAACACTTCCAGGGAGGGGGCATCCACAGCTTCTCTGGGCAACCTGTGCCAGTGTCTCACCACCCTCATAGGGAAGAATTTCTTCCTCATATCTCATCTAAATCTACCTTCTTCCAGTTTAAAGCCATTACCCCTTGTTCTGTCACTCCCTGCCCTTGTCAAAAGTTCCTCCCCAGGATTCCTGTAGTCCCTTCAGGTACTGGAAGGCCGCTATAAGGTTCCTGAACAAAACTGAACCCGTTCACAGGACACAACTTTGGGAGAGCACAGGCTTAAAGCACTGCAGGAGACAAGAGCAAAATCCAGATGACCTTACTCCTGCGCTCACATAAAACCTCCCACAAACTAGCCTGATACAGGTGAAACAGAACAACCTCTATAGAGTGGGCAAAGTTATATTGAAGAGAAATAACTACAGGTACAGTGTTGGCTCTCATGCACCTATCTCTGGGTCCGTATCACGGGTTGCATCTCTGAATCCATAGAGACTTCTCAAACAAATGACAGAAGTCCAAGGGAAGGTGAGCTGTTCATTCCTACCCACTTCCCTGAAGGCTGGGGACAGCCCTGACAGCTCCCTGCCCTCGGGAACGGGAGCTGTCACTTGTTTGTAGTAACATCCAATGTTCATAAAAGTGCCAAAGGAAGGACAGGTGGACCATGGGTTTCATCCACACTATTGTGGACACCTTCAAACTCAGCATCATTACTGCTTCACACATAGTTTTTAAACTCTTGGATGGTACAAGCCAGCTGTGGTTTGCTTGCATTTCTCCCACTCTAAGATGACAGAGACTTTTGTGTATATGAAGTGTTTTAAGGGGGAGGGAGATTGCTGCTCCGTTCTTTTTTTGATTCCTCTATGCATCACAAGGGAGCAAGTCTGTTTCTTAAGTCCAGACTTTGTCAGGGCAAACGTTCCCTTGGGCTGTGAATCTTCTCATTGTCATCACACGTTGCTGCTGCTTCTTCCAGTGGACGATTACTGATTACACCGCTGTTAACCTGTGTCCAAAGGGCGATGAATTGAAATCACAAATCTCGAGTTGCCTGTTCGTACATGGTACAACCAGGGTCAGCTCCATATCAATCTGTAACCTGCATCAGGCCTCTTCGCCTGACAGACTTGAGTGTTGTGGCTTAACTTGTGGCATTGCCCTAGCTCAAGATTAAAGTTGTCTTTTCACATCCAGGCAATGAGAAACACCAGGGTACTTAGGATCATAGAATCACAGAATGGTTTGGG